TGTTGTACTGTATATTATTGCATCCTGGCAGTTCCTTTGTTCCCTACAATATGGACTTCTCTATGTTTTTAATTCATTCATTTATTTTATTATTTAACTTATTTTCATTTTAAGGTATTTTAAATAATATCCTTTAAAAAGTTATAATAAAATGCACGTTGAAAACTCATAACATATATGCATGTAAGATAACAGGTGTCATTTGCCTAATGATTTTTAAATATTAAAGCAAAGAGACTTATAAGATTAATGTGCTTATAACGTGCTTATACTGACACCTACTGGCACATGTCACAAGATCACTGACACTGGCATGTGTCACTGACATTACTGGCATGTGTCTAAAAAGAGCCACTTGACAATAATGATGATCAGGGTTACACATAGGCTGTTAATATATTTGGGCCCAGGGGCCCACAAGTTATGTGTTAAAAGTGCGTTGCATACATAGTACCCCCACCCCTACTCACCTCAGGGGCAAGGAAAAAAGTTCAGGCTCAGGAATTTTTTCCACTATCAGCCCTGCTTATGACCACAGTGTACCTATCTTCTGATGGCTAGGTTAATGCGGCATGTCATAAAGCGCGAATCAACTCAGACTGGTTTCTTGAACATGACAATGAGCTCACTGTACTCAAATGGCCCCCACAGTCACCGGACTCAATGTAATAAAGCAGCTTTGGAATGTGGTGGAATGGGAGATTCGCATCATGGATGTGCAGCTTTCAAGTCTGCTGCATCTACAAGATTCTATCATGTCAATAAGGACCAATATTTCTGGGGAATATGTCCAGTACCTTGATGAATCTATGCCAGAAAGGATTAAGGCAGTTCTGAATTCAACAGCTACTAGAAAGGTGTACCTAATAAAGTGGCCTGTGAGTGTATTTTAATATAGCATTTTCAAATGTCTTGTTTTTATTCTACAAATGAATGCAAACGCGCAAACCTCCCCTTATTATTTTGATCAGTAGTGTATTTTAGCATAACATACAATTTTACAAGAATGATCTTAACATTAGCTTGCTGTGTTCTTACAAAGCAATTCTTTAATGACCACACTTTTAAATGAAAATCTTATATTAAGTTTTATAGCCAGTCAAATCACTCAGTCATTCATAATGACTATGTTATGATGATCATTTACAAAGCAAGTTTAACTTTCAGATTATTAGCCAAGTACTTTTTTTTCTGATTATTCACATTTTTAATTTCCTCTCCACTCCAGCTACTGTACAATCACTTTAGACGTCAGACAGGGATGATGGGAAGTAATTATTGTGAGCACAATGTTCTACTCTAACACTTCTTCTTGAAAGTATCTATAAAGCGTGTTAAAGTGAGTTTTTATTAAACAAACTAAAGCTCCTGTCAGTTTGAAAGTGCATTATGAGAAATATAGGATAGCATCATCAGTTTCTTCTTATGGTCTCGTGAATCCATTTAAGCCAAGCAACTTACAAGTCTTTTTCATTCCTGGCAGACACTGATGGTGAATCAAAGCCCATTGATCAGGTGTCTTTTTTTAAGTGACAGTTTTAAAATGGTACATCCATTTGTTTAGAAAAGAACAATGGGCTTTTTGTGTTCGGTTAGGTGTGCTGGATAAATAATGGACACACTGATGAGCCAGACTGGTTTTTTTTTTTTATTTTGGATATGACATACAGCTATGAAAAAAGGAGAAGTTTGAAAATTCTCAATTTTTTTGGGGTTTATGTTTCATTGTTGTGTAAAGCGTTCTCTTCATTTTTCATAGCTATATGTCTTGTCTGAAGGAAAATACAAACCAGTCTGGCTTGTAGCAGTATTTGGCTAATAAAATGGGTCTGGGGCCAGGGGTAGAAAACCCTTCTACAGTTTCTCAAATAGTTTAATTAAATAAAGTTTCAACAAATGTATGATTTCATCAAATAAACCAAAATCAAATGTTCAATCGACCAAATCAATGTATTAAAAAATGAGAACAGCAAAAAACACTTCACCACATTTTAGTTCAGCTCATCATAAACCTCACAAACCTAACTTTCCAGATATTTCACAATACTTTTTAATACCCTTTGCAATACAATCAACGGGTTATAAAATATAAAATAAACTTCCATAAAGATGTAAATTGATTCAATCACTTCAGAATATACAAAAAAACTATATTAATCAAATTTAACCACAAACAAAGAAAAATAGAAAAATATTATTCTTTTTAATAATAAAAAGACCGAAATTATCACACATAGTTGTAGATTTTAATGTATAGTATTATGTACAGTGCCCATAGAAAAATCTACCTTTTACCAATACCTTTACTCGCATTACACCCTGCTTTCAAAAGACTTTCGGGATAAAATTGTAGAAAGACACAGGTTAGGAGAAGGCTACAAAAACATTTCAAAAGCTGGAAAAGTTATTTGGAATGTGATTTGATTTCAGGCTCTATAACAAAGTAATTATTTTAATAGGCTATGATGATTTTCTATAGGCACTGTAAACTTCTGTTGCCCTTTCTAATTTAAAATTAAACAATTACATTATTTTAGTGTTTATCTTGTATAAAATATCAAAAAAAGGCTCTTTTATTTAAAGAATATTCATTTTTAGACAACACAATATCAGTGTAATAACAACCAATAAAAACGCTTGAAATTTGGACCTATTGATATTTGCTCCAAAAACTGCTAATTATTATTATTATTATTATTAATATTATTTTGGAAGAAATTTTATCTGACCTTTATAGAATAAAACAAACATTTTACTCAAACCAATACCCAATATACAGTTTAAATATTTCCCAAGTGATTTTTAACAGAGCAAGGACATTTTCAGTAATTCCTATAATATTTTTTCTTCTGGGGAAAGTTTTTCTTTTAGTTCTGATAGAACATTGTACAAATTAAAGTTGAGGGAACTAAAAAGTTTAAAGCAACCTGCTGCAATGAAATTGGTTTGTGGTTGAAGTTGTGCCAAATTTGTTTGCTTAAAATTAAACAGGGCTTGAGTAAACTGTATTAAATGAGTTGGCACAACTACATAGAATTTCATTCAATTAAAAAAAATGTTTGACAAATAAGATCTACTTATTTCATAAAATATACTGGTCTTAATCTAAAAAAAAAAAATTTGGCACAGCTTTGGCACTGAATAAACTCAATTTCCTTGCAGCCGTTGCTTTAAATGTTTAAGTTACCTTACTTTTTATATAGTAAATAAAAGCAGTTTTTAAATGGGTAAAACACATTTTAAGGTCAATATTATTAGCCCTTATTATTTTCTGTTGTCCATTGACTTGCCTAATTATTCTAACTTTCCTAGTTACCGTAATAACCTAGTTATGTCTTTTAGTTGCACTTTAAGTTAAATGCTTGTTTCTTGCAAAATAAGTAGGAAAAAGACTTCAACTGGAAATCTAGTACATCCAGAGAAAGTGGCTCTTATTTTTTTCATAGCTGTATATCCAAATATAAAATTCTATATTGTTGTCACTATTTATGTGTTAAGTAATTAGCCTTTAAATGTGAAGGTATTTCTTGGTGTACGCCTTAAGTTTAACAAATCAGTGAATCATTTTCATATTTTGCATATTCCCTTGTTATGCTGTTAGTAAAAGATATCAGTTTTCTGTGCCTGATTCGTCTGTATCTGAGGAAAAATATGTGAAAGAACTGGTTGTCTGTTTAGAAACCGCTTTGCTTTGAAGGAATCTTGGTGACCTTTCCAAGCGCATTTCTAATCAAAGAGCTTTTGTGTGGAAGGGAGATGATGTAGCTCACAAAAAAGACAAAATAAAGTAACTATCGAGATTGGCTCAAGCAATTTCTTCATTTACCTGATAGAAATGTCTTTACCGGAATGTCACAAGTGCAGATTACACACTGGCCGGTTGACAGAAACCCTACAATAAAACACAGATTTCCTACAGACTTTTAAAGTCAGTGTTGGCTAAAAAAAAACATATATTATTTATGTTATATTATATTATATAATGTTATATTATATTATATAATGATATATATTATATATCATTTTAATCCTATCTTGCTCTTTAAAATGAAATAAAATGCAAAAATAAAATAAACTTTTTGACAAAATGTGTGCGTACTGTGTACATTTATTATGTACAGTTGAAGTCAAAATTATTAGATTTTTTACTTTTTTTTTTCAAATATTTGCCAAATCATGTTTAACAGAGCAGTTTGTTTTATTTTGGCTAGAATAAAAGCAATTTTTAATGTTTAAAAATCATTTTAACGTCATTATTATTAGCCTCCTTAAGCATTATGTTTTTTTGATTGTCTATAGAACAAACAATCATTATACAGTGATTGACCTAATTACTCAAACTTGCTTAATTAACCTAGTTAACCTTTAGCATGTCACTTTAAGTTGAATGCTAGTGTGTTGAAAAATATCCAGTAAAATATTATGTAGTGTCACCATGGCAAAGATAAAAGAAATCAATTATTATAAATTAGATATTAAACTATGATGTTTAGAAATGGGGAGAAAACATACACGAGGGGCTAATAATTCAGGAGAGCTAATAGTTCTGACATTTACTGTATATATATATAAATACACGCATGCATATATTTCACAATCTATATTTGGATAAAGTGTGATACAAATAATATATACATTTAAATAATTAAATATAAATAAATAAATTAAATAAATTAATTAAATAAATATGTAACAAAAGTTTGTATAGTTTTGTTATATATATATATATATATATATATATATATATATATATATATATATATATATATATATATATGGCCAGCACTACAAATATCATAACACATGCTTTGACGTTACTTTCCTTAAAATGAACCACACATTTAGCTTTGTTCTTTTATTTTTTTTTTTTCAAAGTGACTTTAGATTGTAATGTATTACTTTCAGTATTTTGGTTCTTGCTGTGTATTCTGCATTTTGTAGGTCAGTCAGCTAATAACAGTTTTTTTTTTTGTTTGTTTGTTTAATTGTTTGTTCTGTAGGTGCCACTGTGTAAGTCTTTGAGAGACACTAGCAGCAGGCTGGCCGAGCTCGGCTGGCTCCACAATAAAATTAGAAAATATACAGACTCACACAGCTTGGATCGAGCCTTTGGTCTTGTTGGGCAGGTAAGAAATAAAATGTGTTCATTTCAAGTCTTGTCAGACCTAGAAGCTGCCATTTTTTGGGGACCTCCTTCATTATACTACGTCTTACACAGAATACATTGTGATTTTATAATTATAAGATTTTTTCTTCAGCAAAAAGTCTTATTTATTTTATTTCATCTAGAATAAAAGCAGTTTTGAAATTTATTTTCAAATCATTTTAAGGACAAAACTATTAGCCCCTTTAAGCTATATTTTATTCGATAGTCTACAGAACAAACCATCATTATTCAATGACTTGCCTAATTACCCTAACCTGCCTAGTTAACCTAATTAACCTAGTTAAGCCTTTAAGGGTGCTTTTACATGAGCACTTTTGGTCCGCACCCGGGTTTGTTTGACGTCATAGTAAGATATGTTTAGCTAGTGTCAACGTGTCTTCTAAACTCGGGTGCGCACCCGTGAACCGTACCCGAGTCCACCTAAAAGAGGTGGTCTGGGGTACGGTTCATGCGAACCCTGGTACGGTTCACTTCTGATGTGAATGCAATCGTACCAAATCACGGAAGTGAACTGCCAACTGTACAACAAACTATCGTTTTCATAACGTTAATTTGTGTGTGTGTGTGTGTGTCACGTTTCTGAGCCAAAGCAAACGCAGTGATGTCTTGATGTTCTGAATGTTTATGACATTTTCGCTGCAGATGGACGCGAGTCGCTTTCTGTATGTCCAAAACTAAAAGCTTTAGTAAAAGCAGAATGACCACGATGTGCGGACGTCTTTCCATTTTGGCACTTGCTTTCGTGACCGTCACCTAGCAACGGCTGTAAACAAAACAGCAGCTCGATGACGCAAGCGTACCGGGGTTAAGATGGAAAAAAGACAGTATGAACACAAACCAACCGAGGAGGTGGCAGGGGGAGACAATCGAACTTGGATACGGTCCGGGCAATTGAACCAAGTGTGAAAGCACCCTAAAGGTCACTTTAAGCTGTATAGAAGTGTCTTGAAAAATATCTAGTCAAATATTATTTACTGTTATCTTGACAAAGATAAAAAAATCAGTTATTAGAAAGGAGTTATTAAAACTATTATGTTTAGAAATGTGTTGAAAGAATCTGCTTAAACAGAAATTGGGAAAGTCGCTTTGGATAAAAGTCGCTTTGGATAAAAGCGTCTGCTAAATGACTAAATGGAAATGGAAAAAAATAAACAGGGGTGCTAATAACTCAGGGGGCTAATAATTTAAACTCCAACTGTGTGTGTGTGTGTGTGTGTGTGTGTGTGTGTGTGTGTGTGTGTGTGTGTGTGTGTGTGTGTGTGTGTGTGTGTGTGTGTGTGTGTGTGTGTGTGTGTGTGTGTGTGTGGGTATATATATTATCACAAGCACTTATGTTGTTTTCACTCGGTAAAGAAAATAATTGGATATGTGTGTACAGCTATTCAAAAAAATGATTACAATTTTAAAAATGAAAATGTAATTACTAACATAAAAAATGTTGCATAATTTTAGTAACACTTGTTTTGTTGTCTTTATTCTCAGAGTTTTTGTGCTGCTCTGCATCAGGAACTGAAAGAGTACTACAGATTGCTCTCTGTACTTCATGCACAGGTGAGTATGGGACAAACGCTTAATGTGCAGGGGAAAATGTGTGTGCGTTCAACCCTTTTCTGCCTTTCGTTCTTGGCTGGAAAAAATCTGCAGGATATTGTAGTAAAGTTTTCAGAACAGAAGTTTGGGGAAACTGATGCAAAGCTCCAGCCAATTTTTGTACCCTGTCTGAAATGAAACAAATTGCTCCTGTAACCTTTTCTGACTGTTGCATCCAAAGCAACTTGTAATGACGACAACCAAGCATAAGAAGCCGTACAGTGTATTAGTGGAATAAATGAATGAATACAACAATCTTTTTTATTATATATTAATAATTTTTTTATAATTATTATGATGATATAATTTTAACATAAAAAAATATAATGGTTTGATTTAAGCCAAGTGATGCTACATAAAACATACCTGCACAAAACAAAAGTTTAATGTTTAATATTTAATTTGCATTATATCTTCTTTTAAACCTCTTTGAATACAGAGGGATCCCTTCTCATCATTAATAAAATAAATATTAATTATTAATTAAATATTAAATATTAAAATAATGAATTATAATTATTAAAACAATATTTCACATATCAGGGACATTGAGCTTCTGCCAGTAAGTTTTAGATATTTTGGTATTAGATATTTATAGTAGAGGTGCAAACATTTAGACTTAAGGGCACTACCAATGACTCCAAACGTTTTCAGATTTTCTTTTATTCATTCATTTTCTTTTCGGCTTAATCCCTTTATTAATCTGGGGTCGCCACAGTGGAATGAACTGCCAACTTATCCAGCCCTTCCAGCTGCAACCAATCACAGGGAAACATACATCTATACACACTCATTCACACTTATTCACTACGGACAATTTAGCTTACCCAATTCACCTGTACCACGTTTTTGGACTTGTGGGGGAAACCTGAGCACCTGGAGGAAACCCACAGGAACATGAGGAGAACATGCAAACTCCTCACAGAAACGGCAACTGACCCAGCCGGGGCTCGAATCAGCGACCTTCTTGCTGTGAGGCGATTGTGCTTCCCACTGCCCCACCCTGCATCCCTTCAGATTTTTTATTTATATATTTATTATTCTATTTTGAATAATTCGATTTTTATTCACTGTTTTCATTTTCTTCATTTGTCTTCATTTGAACTGATGTTTCCGCCATTAGTATTTATTTTCAGCTCTCTGCTCTGAGGCACCTGTATTACTTATGGGCCGGTCTAGCCAATAGCATAATAGCACCTACTGGGGATATAGCAAGACCCCATCTGATTGGTTAAATTTGGATAAATGACCTATGCATGTAACAAGCAAATACTCTTTGATTCAGATATTGCAAATACTATTATCGCCACAATGATAACTATTTGATATATTGTTTAGCCCAACTCTTATTTACATACTTTGCACTATGAAATCATTTGCAGGGCAGTTTGTGTTCAATTATAAAAAAAAAATAATAATCTAAAACATATAAATACAATGTTTTTGTATTTTTTGCCAGTTAATTGGTGTGAATGTGTGTGCGTTCAGCTCCAGGTGGAGGACGATCAGGGTGTAAATATGAGTGTTGACAGCAGTTTGACTCTGAGGAGACTTCTGGTGTGGACCTACGACCCCAAGGTTCGACTAAAAACACTGGCCGCCCTGGTGGACTACTGCCAAGGTTGGTGGTTATACAACTCATCCTGTAAATACCGTCATACCGCAATAGCAATTTCTTTCAATATTACCGTGGTTGTGACTCAATAAAATTATAGGTCTTCTGGTAAAAAGTTTTCTCAGGCGAATGGAGCAAATGGGAGGTAGCGGAAACTACAATTTTCATCAGCCCAGGCGTGGCCATCATCCTTTGCGGTCTGTTGTCACTACAGATCCAGTAATGCAGAAATGGAGGGTGCTGCTAGTAGGAGCAAAGAAAAAGAGCTAAAAATGGTCAAACCTAAAGCGGGTTTTAAATCAGATGCATGGAAGCATTTCAGTTTCTCTCTGAAAAGAAACAAGAAAAAAGAAAAGGTGACAGAAAAAAAAATACAATGCTGAAATACAAGTCGGGGAATATGGCTAACATGATGGGGATTCTTTTAGTCAAGGGGACAGCAGAACACAGCACACTGCTCAGATTGATGGAGACATTGACTTGTACCACCAAGAGACTTCTATCTCACTCATGGCTTGTCCTTTCGAGTGGTGTTTTTTTTTACATGGTTTAATATTTTTTGTTATTAAAATTTAATAATTTAAGTTCCTGTTTGAAAGTTTACAAATAGGTAATTTGTATGTCATTGATCTGTTCAGTGTTGAGGTTACCTGAACATTCTAGCACTTTTTTGAGTCTCTTCAATAGTTTTTTTTTTCCTTTAAATGATTCAATAAATACCGTACCGTGCCATTCATACCGAGGTATTACCGTATCGTGAAATTTTGATACCATTACATCTGTAATATATATATATATATATATATATATATATATATATATATATATATATATATATATATATATATATATATATATAATTTAAAATATGAGGCTAAAAAAAAGACTTTTGACTTTTTTTTTACTTGGGCCAGTGAAAATTTTGGCAGGGCAAGTAAAAAATCATATTTAATGTTCTTAATGTGAAATATTTTATGTATTTATTTATCATCTGTTATTATGATTTACATTTTTATTATTATGCAATTTTAATGTTAATTTTTTATCTATATTAATTTTGCTTTTAGCCATTTTATCTTATTATTTTAGCCAATGATCTATATTAATTTTGCAATTTAGCCATAGGTTGCTGATATGACGGTAAATAAACAAACTCTGGTTTCTCTCTCAGGGCGTAAGGGTGGAGAGTTGGCCACTGCTGTACATGCGTATGGAAAGACGGGTGACCCCAACATGAGAGCACTGATCCAGCACATCCTTGGTCTGGTGTCTCATCCGATTCTCAACTTCTTATACCGCTGGATTTATGATGGAGAGCTGGAGGATACGTACCATGAGGTCAGGAGGAACACATACACACTCTGTTTATGTCAAAGTCACACAATAACTTACTTCATACTTTAGTGTTTATTTTATGGTTAACACTGCAAAGCTGTACTTCATTCTTTACACTGTGGCATTCATTTTGCTGGCAATCTACAATTAAGAGACTATTGCAGTGATTTCTTTTTTTAAATGAACTTTTAATTTTGGTCATTAAATGTCCTGGAGAGTTTCACAAGCCTCATTTCTCAAGTAGTGGAGCGTTAAGACCTTTTTTAATAGTGTCTCTGATTTAAATTTCATTAGCAATGTAAGGGTTGCTCCTTTTGATTCACTTCCATTAATCATTTCAGAGTCTTTAGACCATTTAAGGATTATCTCTTATATTATTAAAGCATTTATGAGAATTTTGGAAGAATTTATTTTTTAATGTATTATAATTTATTTAATTCTCTTTATTTAATTTTTAAAAATTATATATAAACTGACTGGCCACTTCATTAGGTACATTTGCCTTCAGAAAATATCTATGAGACATTTTTACTCACAGAGCTTGCACAGTAGCTTTTTTTTTTTTTTTTTACTCTTTCTCTTTTTGTTTCAACCCATTTTCTGTAAACCCCAGAGACTGGTGTGTGGAACAACTGCAGTAGATCAGCAGGTTTTAAAAATTCTCTGACCAGCCTGTCTGGCACTAACAACCACTCCACTTTTAAAGGTTCTCAAATCATCTTTCTTCTGGATTGTGACATTTGATTTGAACTTCTCCATATTTTGACTGTGGCTGTTTCTCGATTCCACAAACACAGAGAATAGACTCGTGTTTTCATGAAGACCAGTTCTGCCAAGTTACCTCGGAACCATCTCGGAAGACCGCGAGAATACATCCTCTAAAAAAATGACATTTTTCCTGATGGTCACATGACATTCACACATTTTAATAGGAAAATATTTAAACATTACAACATTTATACAATAATTTATATTTTTAATATATGTATATAGCATGCAAACAAACCTCTAAAATACAAAAACAAAAAACAAACAACAAACTAACAAACAAAAAACTAACTAAACTGATTTTAACATGAACTTCAGCAATAAACACTGGAATCTCAGCGAATATTTGCTCTACAGACTTGAGAAATATATCCACATAAAGCCTTAAATCTGTGCTTTTAAATGAACCAAGTGCACTTGAAAACTAAAATTTTTTTTTGGTTTTGTAATCTGTATAAAACGAACGCAAGTCTGTCCTGTCAAACGCACATTACATGACAGCAGCCTCTCAAACGCCCACAAACTTGTAAACAAAGAGTCACTATCATTTCTGTAGGACATTCGCCATCAAGACAAGTTGTGAACTGCAGAAGACGAGCGCGATCAGACGAAGCATTATTGGGATGATAGTGTGTAGCACGGCCATAAATGAAATTTTCACGACAAACAAAAATGTTCATTTTGAGTGCGCATGCGCATTACCTCGGGCAACCTGGAAAAAGTGCTGATTTTGTTTGAATCAAACATTTAGAAATGAAGCTT